TGGCTGTCTTGTGTTGTGGGGATCGAACCACAGCAACCTGAGCCTGACTGCTTTGTTGAAGCAGCCACTTAAAGAACTGAGCTAAGGGGCAGGCCCCCAAATGGAATAAGGGTTGTTTGGTTTTTTTGTTGTTGTTGTTCCTTGAATGCCTTCAGGGCACTTTTGGCCAGCGGGAGAGTTGTGAGGTTCGAACTCCAGCAACCTGAGGCTGCCAGCTTTGTGGAGGCAGCCACTTAAAGGCCTGAGCTAGGGCCAGGCCCCCAAAAAAAGAATATCAATGAATGATTTTTCCAAACATTGAGTAAAGTTCCAAAGGTCCCAAAAGACAGAATATTTAGGCCATAAAAAGAATGAAGCAAATAACTATATACAGGAAATCATGCATATATGCTGCTTGCTGTCCACAAAAACCTGCACACCCGAGGAAACACAAAGTGAATATCAACATGACAGCAAAAGTCAAATTCGGTCTGCTGGGAGGTATGTTCTGGGATGCCATAGACAAAGACTAAATCCTTTCTCTACTGTAGACAATGCAGAGTTATGGCCCTTGCACTTCAGAGAAGCTATCCATTCACTAAAGCCTTATAAAAAGTCCAGTGAATGGAACAGACCCTTCCTAGGGTCCCTTCCTGGCCTCAATGCCATAATTAATCCTTTAATCAAAAGGACATTAATTCTGTGTATGACATTCTCTCCAGGAAAATGTCCTACTTGGGTGGCATGGGTTATGAGTCCTGCTTACTAGCTAGGGGATCTCAGATGAGGTATTTAACCTCTATGCCTATTTCTTAATCTGCAAGATAAATTTTTAAGAGGACTTCAGGATAACTGAGAAAACATTTGTGAGCTGCATGATACATTATCACTGCAGCAAGAACTCGAAAGATAGCAGTGACTATTGCTGCAGGAGAAATGAAAATTAAATCAAATGCAAATGAGCCCTGAGAAGAATGCCTGGCCACTAGTTGGCATTCGAGCTCAACGCAAAGGTATGAGTTGCAAAGGAAATGGGAAGCTGCATAGCATTTGGGTGGAGAAGCATCTTCAGTCGTACAACTTAGGGAAGTCACTGGAAGCCACATTTCCCTTTCTTCTCCACAAAAATAAGTACACATAGGTTAGATGTCCACGATGTTTTCTCCAATTTTGAAGAGTCTGGAATTCTACAAAACCCCAAAATTTAATAAATACTAAAACCTTATATTACCATATAAAACTCTAGTCATCAATTCGAAAATAACCACTTGGTAATGGTATAAATGTATTACAAATTATTTAAATTCACAGTAAGAGGCTGGCCAGATAGCTCAGCAAAGTAAAGCACCTGCTTAGGCAGACCAGGGACCAGGATTCCATTCCCGGTGTGCTGGGTGGGCCCTGCCCCCAAGGCTCAATGAGACTGTGATTGAGACTGGGCGTGGTGGCATGTGCCTATAATCCCAGTGCTTGGGAGGCTGAAAAAAAGGATCACTATGAGTCTGATCTGTGTAGTAAAACCCTGTAGACCGTGTACTAAATACATAAAAAATTAGTTAATTCACAGTAAGTCTGTAGTATAAGCCTCATAAATGTAAAAATCCTTTAATTATTTAAAGATTAATTAAACAATGAATAAGTGCTAGATTCAGAATTAAAACAAAACAAAGATATTTTATTTTCCATACAATTCCCTCCTCGTAATTTCTCTTATGTATTTACTTTGAGCTACCCAGAGAAATCCCACATACTCCCTGGGTGTGGTGGCACACCTGTAATCCCAGAACTCAGGAAGCTGAAGCAAGAAGATCACCCTGAGTTTGAGGCCATCCAGTGCTACACAATGAGATCAAGGCCAGCCTTAACCAGGCCTTGTCTCAAAAATAAAAAGAAGCCCAGGGTAAGCACCAGAGATATAGCTCAGTGGTGCAGTGCCTGCCTGGCAAGCGTGAGGTCCTGAATTCGATTTAAAAAAAAAAAAAAAAATCCCATATACTGATTCTAAAGAATCCCAAATTTGATGAATTCAAACTGGTTCAAATATTTACCAACTTTTTTTCTGGACAGAGCCAAATAGTAAATATTCCACTCATGTCTGATCTTAAGGTACCTGCTTGTATCTGCTCTCAAACAGCTCAACATCAGCCAACCCATCACTGAATAGCTGTGGTTACTTTCTGTATGGACAGTGAAGTCTGAATTGTACACTGTTTACAAGAATCATGAAACATTAGTCATCTTTCTAATTTTTTTTAATTTGCCACTTAAAATGTAAATGCCATTTTTAGGTTGAGGATTGTACAAAAAGCGGTGGCGCTCAGGATTTAGCTGGGGACCGTGGTTTGCCAAACCTCGCTGTAATATTTAGGGAGCACAGGGCGGTGCAGCGATGCTGGCCTAAGCAGGCTGCTCCTTTGGTGTTTTCATCAGTAGACAGGCCGGCGTGCACTTCGCTGCCTTAGCTTCATCCGCCGCCTTGGGCTTCCACCACCAGCCACCGCATCCCCATCCCTGTAGCAAGGCCAGAGCTCAGCATAGCGAAGGGAAGCCTGACACCTTGTGGTTACACTGCAAATGCCAGGCGTCCCTTGGAAGTCACCAGAAAGGCACAGCCACTGGGCAAGGGTGACTGCTGGAGGGCTAGAGGAGCAGGCAGACTCCTGGGGTGGGAGCCAGCCCGCAGCAGTTCATTGCTGTTGTTGTCATCGCTGTGGTTGTTGATGAAATGAAGCATGACAAAGTCCAGAGTTCACTAGCTCGTCTCACCAAAAGGAACTTCCAAAAGGCTGTCCTTGGGTGGCATTTCTATCTTTAAAAAAATTAAGTAAAAGCCATTTCCAGAGCCTTCCCAACTGTCTGCTGACAGTCCAGTTTTTGCTGTCTGCTTAGAACTCTGTCCTGTGTTCATCATCCATCTCTCCAGGAGAGAAGTGAACACAGCAGGAGCCACCACCCCACTCTTGTCAGCTGCTTACAAAGGAGAAAGAAGGTAAAAGCAGAAGATGTGACTGATCCTGAGAATCAGCTTTATTCTGGGCAATGGCAGATACAGGGGGGCTTCAGGACAACACAGTCGTGACTAAAATGTCACGACAGCCCTGGAGAAAATGGGATTGATCATTGTGTGCACAGGCCAGCCAGGTTTGGGCTTATTGGAGATAAACAAAGAGGAGGTGGTTCTTCCCATTCTCCTGCTTGTAAGAAGAGCCCAACCCCTGGAAAATAGTATCACTATGCCATACATTATGCAGGGAAGAAAATCCTGTGGTTTGCTGGGCTGAGAGACTCACCCTTTCTCAATCAACAACCACTCCTTCAGGTTGACCAGAAAGCAGAGGGAACAGACATTATGGGAACTTGGCAGGGACTGGCCCCGGGTTCTGCACTCACAGAAGCACCTCTGCCACAGCAAGGGTCTCACTTTGAAGGTGTTGCTGTGTAATGCTTCACAGAAACCCAAAGGGGACAGTGATAAAAAAAAGAAGCAGGTGCAGCCTCAACTATCCACATTCCAGCATAAGCAGAGCTGCATGGCTGCAGGTGGGTGAGCTGGCAAAGGATCTCAAGGCCTTGCTCCTGGGGATCCCCAGGGATCCTCCAGGTGACAACTCAGAGGAAGGCCATGGGGAGGGGCTAAGTCTAGAGCCCAGAGAACAGGATTCAGAATCCAGCCTAGATCTAAGCCTCCTGCGGGATACAAACGCTGACTGGTGTAGTCAGGAGACCATGCCCTTCTCTGCCTGCGTCCCCACTACCCCACTCTTCTGCAGGAACAGCCGCGGTGTGGAGCAGCAACTCCACACACAGGGTACAGTGTAGCAAAGGGGGCTGGCCACCCTCCCTGCAGTCCTGGGGGCTGGGCCGCCACCCAGTTTACTAGCAGCATCGCTGCACAGAAGACAGGAGTCTTTGTGACTGGAGACCTGCTTTCCTGCTGGGGAGCTGCTGACTCCTGGGCTGATCTCAGCTTGGGACCACCTCACTGCTGGTGGGTCGCCATAGTGCTGGGCTCTGCCCCACCAGCCAACCACAGGAATCCTTGGTCCCTTAGCCAGGAGGGGGCTTCTTAGGCCAAGCAGCGATTTGTTTTGGACTCCATGATTTTTAATCTGACCTTTGCCAACACTTGCTTGTGTTTTACAAGACAAATATCTGGGACCTTCTCCGATGACCTCTTTCTGGTGACATGTCTGCCCCAGCCACCCACCCACCTCCCCACCCCACCCCCACCCCCGTGAGAGACTGGAATGCTGCCCTCCAGGGGACCTCTTCAGCTTTGTAGGAGTTAACATGGGTCCTCGCCTAAAGGGGAAGGAGAAAAACGTTGGAGTTGACACTTAATGGGAGGAGGGGTGGCCACGGTCTCACTGACTTCTCATTGGTTTTACATTTCCTCCGATTTGTGTTCTTCTTTCTCCCTCTCCCTCTTTCAGTCCCTCTTTGCCCCCAGGGGAGGGGAAACGGGAATAGTGAGAGATCAAAAATAAACCTCTTATGTCAAAGCCGGGAAGGAAGTATAAATACGAAGGGCTCATCAGCCCACTCTGCGCCGCGCGGGCCTGGGCGGAGGCAGGAGGCGCTGAGCGGGGCGGCACGCGGGCCGGGGCGAGGACGGGCGCCCGCGGAGTGCGCGCCAGC